TCTGCTCATGTATTTCCATTGAGTCTTAGTGTTGGATCTCGAAGCATTTTTATTTTTCAGAAAACTGTTAGGCAGACCACAGGAGACCAAACCCTCCCTGTGCAACTTGGGGTTTGTTTCCTACCCTCTCAGGGCACTGATGCATTCTTCTATCTTGTGGTTTCTTTAGTTACCCTCACGTCTGTCAAGAGACAGCGGTGGAACATGGTTGTCCACAAGGTGCCTCAAAGACAAGTGCTTTAGGGATGCAAACATCAGTCGAGGCTTGGCCCAAAGACTAAAAGCGAGTCCTGAAGTGGACCGTGGGCAGGATCTGGATCCTGAGCAGTGGGTAGGATGCTGCTGCCTGTCTCCACATCTATCTTCTCTTCATACAAACACAAGCCATCCATCCACACTGCCTCCTGGGCCTCGGGAGTTGTGTAGTTAGTGCAGTCAGTATTGGGGGAAGCCCAGTAGTTGCCATTCAAATATGCTAACTCATCATCACTCTTCCAAAGACATGGTTGTTAGAGCATCTCTGAAGTTGGTCCCCTGACTCGTGGCGGCCCCATGCACAGTGCAATGAAACCCTGCCCAGTCCTTCATCTCTGGAATGGGTTTTCAGAAGTAGAGCACCAGGCCTTTGCAGCTTGGATCTCTTAGTCTGGAAGCGCCACTGAAACCTGCTTTGCATCAGAGCTACACAAGCCATAGCTGCATTTGAGATGCATCATCCGGGATTGGAACCCGGGATTCCGACATGGAAGGGGAAAATTCTACCTGCCTTGTCCTTTATGAAGCCGTGTGGACCTCGGTGACAGGCAATGACAAAAGGGGAGCCCCATGCATAGAGAACTAGGAACACACGCATAGGCTTAGCATGACCCAACTTGCCTGTAAAAAGGGACATTAGCAAGCACATCCATCCTGACATATCAGATGGCACAACCCCACAGGACAGAGAGAAAAACAAGTAGTGTGAGCCACAAAGGTCATTCTGAATGGAAACATCCCCACAGCCACTGTGGGATTAGCAAAAATAAACGCAAACTGTGACTGAGAGCTTTCACAAATAGGAAAGCAAGACAATTTTCATCACAAAGCAAGTTCTAACTGTTCCATGGGTGCATTATGGCCCATCAGGAATTCCAGTGTGGCGTAGGATAAGCACTGGACTGCAAGGTCAGTTTGATTGTGGGTCCAAGTAAAATGAAATATTTAACAACTTGAATCCATTTTTTTTTTTTTTCCATTTTTCATGGTGTTGTTTATTGGTCCAGTCGTGGTGATTTTTGTTTTGTTTTCTTTATACTGATGGTTGTTCACGCTGAAGGTTGACTCTTTGCTCTTCATCAGTAAATGCTCTAAGGACGGGAGAAAGACTGTGTCATCTGTGTATCACAGAGTCTTTCTCCAATCCGGACCACAGTGTGTCCAAGTCTTCCCCAGAGAGTCTAGGTTATCGATTTATATGCTCAGCATACAGATTAATCATATAAGTATAGTGAAAAGATACATCCCTGAGGCACACCTTTCCTGATTTTAAACTTAGCAGTATTCCCTGTTCTCTTGGCATGACGGCTTCTTGGTTTATGTACAGGTTTCTAATGATCACAATTAAATGGTCTGGAATACCCATTCATTTCAGTGTTAAACATAATTTCTATGATCCACAGAGTCAAATGGTTTTGCATAGTTAATAATGCACAAGAAAACATCTTTCTGCTATTCTCTTCTTTCAGCCAAGATCCATCTGCTGTCAGCAACGATAGACCCTTTTCCACGTCATCTTCAGAATCCAGCTTGAATTTCTGGCAGCTCCCTGTCGAGCTACTGCTGCAACTGCTTTTGAATTATCTTCAGCAAAATTTTACTTGCATGTGATGTTAGTGATATTGTTGGATGATTTACACACTCCATTGGGTCACCTCTCTTTGGAATGTGCATAAATATGAATCTTTTCTAATGGGCTGGCCAGGTGGCTATCTTCCAAATATCTTGACAAAGATGAATGAGTGCCTCCAGAGCTGCATCAGTTTATTGAAAGATATAAATTTGCATTCCATCAATTCCTGGAGTCATGTTCTTCACCAATGCCTTCACTGCAATTTGAACTTTTTCCTTCAATGCCATCAATTCTAGATCATATGCTACCTCTTGAAATGGCTGAAGGTTGACTGATTCTTTTTGGCACAGTGACTGTGTATTCCTCCCACCTTTGCACCCATGGGATTACCATGAGTTGGAATCAGTTTGATGACAATTATCAACATTAACAATGATACAAAAGATGACAGATACAGAGACAGAAACAGAGATAGGGATGAGAGAGACACAGA